CTATAATTTTGATTCGCCATCGGAAGCTGTCGACCCGTTTCCAACATGTACTAGAGTCTGTCCCTGGCTGTTGTATCTGACTGTTGATTCGTTGGGTATCCGAAGACTACAACGCTGGGTTGCTTGGAGTGTAGGATCCGGCCCGAACTGCTCAGCGTAACTTTCCGTGCGTAAACGTATATTGATGCCGCGACATCGGCAGCACAAGATCTCTCGAAATGGAGTCCTGAATTCACGGTTAAAGCGAGCGTAAATTAATGGATTCATGAAGGAATTGAAGTAGCCTAGCCATAAGAATATACTGTTTACCAATTGAGGTACGTGGCACTTTAATTCCAGCGTAAGACACACGGGGCGAACCACAGCTAAAATGAAGAATGGCAACCAGCAAGCAATGAAACCGCCCATGATTACCCCGAGAGTCTTGGTAGCTTTCTTTTCCTTTGAACTGTAAATTTTATTTCTTTTTAACAAAAATGATTTTATTGTAAATCTGCGCTTTTCGCGACGGTTCTTGGGAAGTATTTCTAACGCGCCGTCGTCGCCGTCCGCATTGCTGGTTCGCAGCGATCCGTTTGGATAGAGGTGCATGTCTCCGCTATCACTGGATGTTTTGGGACGGTTATTATAGGGAGCCGGAGTTTCCAAGCTTCCGACTTTGGATTTAGCCTCGGCCTTGCTAATCCTATCAGAAACTTTCCAGATTCTATAATAGACAGTAATCATAATGGTACAGGGGAGATAAAACGCCAAGACAGTGGCGTAGATTTGATATCCAAGTTCTTGGCTGTAGCCGCATTCCAAGGATTTTCGGACTTTCTTCCAACCAAACAAGGGGGGGATGGAAATGAGAGCCGACAACAGCCAGACTACTGTGATCAACAAAGCAATGCGACGAGGTGTCCGTTTCATAGCATATTGTAATGGTCGGGTGATCACAAGATAGCGGTCGACGCTTATCATACATAGATTGAGTATAGAAGCCGTACAGAGGAGGACATCAAGCGACGTCCACGCATCGCAAAGCTCATTTCCTAGTTGCCACCTTTGAGTGATTTCGTACAGGAGGGCGAGAGGCATGACAAAGAGAGCGACGAAAAGATCCGACACGGCCAGTGAAACGATGAGGAAGTTTGATGGAGTCTGCAGTTTCCTCACCATGAAGACGGCGATACACACGAGGGCGTTACCGATGACCGTGCCGACTATCATAAAAGTAAGAATAATGGAGACGATGACATTCGTCCATAAGGAGGATGCAGATGAGGCGTCGTTTGTTTCGCCATTCAAAGAATAATTGCTACTGTTTGGGTGGATGGTCGATGATAGTGATAAACTGGATGGCGTGTCGATTTTAACTGCCACCATTTTTGATCCTTGATTGGTATGTCTTCTTTCTTTCTTTCTTTCTTTGTGTTCTTTGTTTTTCTTAAAATATTTATTGATTATTTCTTTTTAAAGTTTGTAAATCTTTTTGAGGTTTTCAGTTATTTAAATAAGTATATCGCGTTTTGTTTTGTTTTTTTGTTTCTTATTTGTCTGCTTTTTTTCTATCTTTTTGGTCTTATGATTCACTAGTTCTATGTATGGGAGACCATAGAGTGCAAATTTAAAAGAGGAAAAGATGCTAAGGAAAAGAATGAGTTAGTGATAGAATGCGAGAAAAAATGAGAACAAAAGGAAGTTTTAATGGCAACTTCTTATTACAATTTGGAAAATCTTTTTTGTTGCTTATGCTTTTTTATATATTAATTTGATTTTTAAAACTAGGCTTTTGTTACTGCTGAATAACTATTGACACAGAAAAACATTGCTTGGTTAAAATTCAAAATCAGATTTCGGCTGGCGGAGTAAAATATGAGCTTGCTTTTCCTTCTTTTTCAATTACTCTTTTGCAAATTCAATTTTTTTCTTTAATGTTGTGAAAGATTAATGGATTATTACAAACTGTTTTTCTTAATGTATTGTTGGTATTTATCTCTTTGTCTTTTTTTGGATTTCCTCTTCCTTTTTTTCTTGCCTTTTGTTGGCTTCTGGTACGTTTTAGCTTAAATTTTGCATTTACTATAAACATGGCGGCAGTTCCGGTTAAATTTGCTGAAGGAGAAATAAGAGGAAGCCGTATATTTTATTCAGCGCATTAAATATTCCACATTCAAGTAGACATGAGTATTTATTCCGTTTCCAAATTTAAAACTTTCTTTGTAACCCTATAGCGCGTGTCGTAGAGACTACGTCGGGGGCAAGCAAGAGTTAGTAATTTCGTTTTCCTCTATGAATGTGAGATTAGTCATGTGATCATTGAAAAAGGCAGTGTGCCTGGAGATGTTCGATCCGTCCAAGGGAACATCTTGTGTCAATATTTTTTCTCGTTTTATGAACGTCTGCGAAGAATCCATTGGGTAAACGTTAACGCAGCATGACCTGTCAGCCTACGCGTCTTTTCCCGTCACAGGAGAGCTTTTGTAAACGAAGCCGTAAGTTCGACGAAGCGTATTCTGGAATAATCATAGTTGCGTCTTTAATCAAATTTTTAAGGTCCACTTTTGCAAGTCGCCATTCACCTGCAAAAAGAAAAAGCAGAGACAAAGACAAAATTAAACTAAGCGAACTTTAGTACAAAGGAATATTAATAGAGAATTTATATGCAACGCACTCATTGTACAACGTCTCTATAAGTAGGATAACTAATTTATAGTAACAATTTAGCTCAATTCTAAAATATGATATCGATGAATAAGATAAAGCTAAATTCGTCACCATCGTAAAAGTTGACGTCATTTTGCACGCATCAAAATCGGTCAGTCAATATCGTTTTCAGAAAACACGAACCAAACTCATACGTACGCATTATATATATATATATATATATATATATATATATATATATATATATGTGTGTGTGTAGAAATATAGTTTTAAGGTGTGCTATATATATGGGATAAAGTGATCAATATCAGAGATACAGCGTATGTAAATATAAATATAGTGAATGACATTGAATTCAACACTCAGAGGCGACAGGTTGTTTAATGCTAGACGCAATCTTCAGGCCGTCCTGATGATTGCGTCCAGCATGAAACAGCCTGCCGCCCCTGAGTGTTGAATTCAATGTTATATATATATATATATATATATATATATATATATATATATATATATATATTCAAGAGAATAGAATCAAGGTGCAGCTCAATGTCTAGGAAACAGCATGAATAAATAATTATATTTATGCTCTACTTTTGTATCGAGCACTATTTTTTAAAAATGATGACAAAAATACTAAAGAAAGTGTAAATATATATATATATATATATATATATATATATATATTATGTAATATAAACGGCTCAAACACTAATAATCCATGGTTATAACCCAGTTCATCAGATCTACAAATTCAAATTTTGAAATTCTAGGTCTGATGAACTGTATCGTAATTACTTTTCCAATGTAATAAATTATAACCATGGACTATTAGTGTTTTAGCCATATATACATGTAATATATAACTTGTGCTCATATCTGATAAATAAACAAATGCATAAATTATTATAATTATGGCCGAGATTCGGGAATGGACAGCAGAGAGGATCTCTTTTTCTGGCAGGCATAAGGATTCAAGTTGATTCGATTTGATTTTTAAGACTTACCTACCTTTTCCAGGTTCTTTCCGGCACATTAAATATTTTGAACTGTAAGATATTTTGGAGATAATAAAGATGTATTGATACGAATCCTACTATTTAACCCATAACTGGGACGAAAAGTCATACTTTTTGTAAGGCTATTTGAATATAAGTGAATATAATAAACTCGACAGGGACTTGAACTCGGCTCTCCAATTTTCTATCACAAGCCATTACCCATTACACAGTCAGTATACCCAGCTTACAATACCTAATATTCCCAATCCGTCACCAATCCAGCTACTGATCAAACTCGACGTTATTTAACTTTGCAATGATCAACGGGATATGGGCGTAAGCCAGGCGGTCATTAAGGACTTAGTGATAAATTGTCGTCTATATTACGCCTAAAATTAAAATAACACTGACATCTTATTTTAACAGATATATTTACCAACATTACAAATTATATCTTTATATATATAAGCATATATTGTTGAATATTTTAAGTACAAGGGATGTTTAAAATTTTATTATTAAATTGACCACTGGCTTGATTCATTTTCCGATTTTTGGAGAAAATTTTAAGGTCAAGTATCCAGTGTCTTCAAGGCGCTTTCAACTTACATAAATCATCTTTTAAAAAGTTGTCATTTTGTTTTGCTATGGTTCGCCATTCATAGAGGCACAAGTCTATCAACCAAAAAGAAAACAAATGTCAATTAACATCGAAGATACCCTGAATATTCTAAGATACCCTGAATATATTATATATACCCTGAATATATGAATGTGGTGTTACTGTATCATCATGGAAACAGTACACCAATGGGTAAGAAAATTTGTTCAGATGGATATATATACGCATTAATAATAGTCTTTATTGCAGCAGACTTATATTAATGAAAAAGAAAATTCTTTAAATAATAAATAAATACTCAACCCACTATTGCAGTTTCACTTCATGTTTCAGGTCATCAGGCTGATTTGTTTCTTTTTTCTCATACCACTTAGTATCTCATACCATTTAGTATCTCATACCACTTAGTATTTCCATGTGTATTGCTCCCCTACTTTTACATGTCAACACTAAATAAATAAAAAAATGTACATACGCATATTCATTTATATTTAGTAATTTTCTTTTAATAATTAGGATAATTTCGTTCCGTTTAAGTTTCAATTCCTGGCTCCCATTATGCCTGTATGAATTTGGTTTCAGATTTAAATTTATCCATTATTTCAATTTTTTAATCAAGTTCTTGGGATTTCTTGAATTTTACTAAAGTTAATTTCTCTTCTAAACACAACCTGCCAATTGCGTCAGTTATTTTTTTCTCTTTTTATTACATGGCTAATTCATTGATTTGGGATTTCTTTACTGCTTATCAACATTTTGTGGCTTATTTAAAGCCGAGAAATATTTTGTATTGTAAGAATAATTATTTCTTTTGGGAGTGAAGACTGAATTAATGATTTGTTTTTAGAGTAATACTTATCTTTCCAGGTAGAAGACCTACTGCTTAACCCATAGCTGGAGGAAGAGATGGATTAATACCTTTCCAAATTGTATTTCATAACTTTCTCAACGAACCTGACTTGAATTCGAAATCGGCTCTCCGATTTCTATTTCCGACCCATTATCCATTACCCAACTCGCTTGTCCCGACATGAGTTGTGTCGGTATAAGTATATATTGCAATAAAAAGCGACATGAAATAAAATGACCACATCAACCTGAAGATCCGGATGGTGTAACTGCAGTGGCGAGTGAGAGATTTGAATGCCCATCTAGATCACCAGATTTGAAACCCTTGGATTTCTTTTCCGGGGGGTTCTAAAAGACAAATTTTGCAACAGGAAACCTGAAACAATTGCTGAAATGAGAATAGCAATTGAAGAAGAATGTGCTCAAATACCTGAAGAAATGATACTGGACGTTTGTAGGTCTATTTCTTCAAGATATGAAAAGTGTATTGAACATAAACCAGTTTGAGCACTTGATATGAACTCATCAATATATGAACATTGCCTTCAGTAGCTTTTATCTTATTAATTTTCTATGTTTTCTGTATATTCTACTCTCAAATTCTTTAAATGTTTATTCTTTCTCTTGTATTAATCTTATTTACAATCAAAATACATAAATTGAATAAGTTATAACGATTCAAATAGTGTATTCATTATTTTGGAACACCCTATACATATATATATATATATATATATATATATATATATATATATATGGATATAGATATATATTAATTAAATATGTTTACCTAAAATAAATATCGTTTTCAAAAACCAGGCTCCTTTATTTTATCTACGTATAACATCGAACGTAAAGGTATGTTTTCTTTTTATTTCTTTATGCTTAAATATAATGTTTTAATATTCATGTCATATATTACAAAAATATATTTTAGCAAAATTGTAGTATGTTTCTGTGGGTATTGGTTGGAACGGTGAATATGGAAAAATTTCACGTTCTTTGAGTAAAAGACATGCTGACAAAACAAGAGTTTATATTTCCGATGTTTAAATTATAGTGAGATACGTTTTGATCTGAAAACACTGCCAATAAATAGAGAAGAAATAATGAAAGAAAACTCACGAGAAAAAGGTGAATGAAGTCTGTCGGCAAAGCACTATGGAATCTGTAAAATAAAAATAATAGCAAAATTAAAATAATGCACTTACGTTGGCTATTTCTCGACAGGTGTTTAGAAATATTGCGAA